TGTTTTTCCACTAGATACAGGTGCGGAAATATCCATATTGAAGAAAAATTCCGATATTTTTCAAAAGATCTGAAATCGTCCGAAAAATTGAAACAAATTCAAAAGAAAACAGTGTATTTATTCCGAACCAAGAAATTAAGCATGGTATCTATATAGCAAATACCATAGCAACAGCCCAGCATATACATATAAGACTACTAAATACCACAAATACAGATCAAGTAGTTTATATTAAAAAAATTCATCATGAACCACTTTCAAACTACGAAGTAGTACAAACAGACTTAGAAACCTGACAAAAAATGGTATTATCCGAACTTTCGAAAAACTTCCCACTTTTATTCAATGAACAACTTACAACATTATGCACCCAGTATAGTGATGTATTCGGACTAGAAACCGAATCGATCACTACCAATAATTTCTACAAACAAAAACTGAGATTAACTGATGATGAACCCGTTTATATAAAAAATTATAGAAATCTTCATAGTCAACAAAACGAAATTCAAAAACAAGTCCAAAAACTCATTAGAGATAAAATAGTGGAACGCTCTTTATCACCTTATAATAGCCAACATTTGTTAGTACCAAAAAAAGTCACTTCCAAATTCGGAAAATAAAAAATGGTGATTAGTATGTGTCTATCGTCAACTTAATAAAAAACTCTTGTCTGATAAATTTCCACTCCCTACAATCGACAATATTTTGGATCAACTAGATAGAGCCAAATATTTCTCATTCCTTGACTTAATGTCAGGTTTTTACCAAATTTAACTCGAAAAAAGTTCACGCGATAACATCCCTTTCAACAAACAATGGTTCATATCGCTTCACGCGATTACCATTCGGTTTTAAAACAGCGCCAAACTCTTTTCAGAGAATGATGATTATAGCTTTCTCTGGATTAGAACCTTCGCAAGCATTTCTTTATACGGATGACTTAATAGTCATAGGTTGCTCCGAAAATCATATGCTCAAGAACATAACTAATGTGTTCGAGAAATGTAGGCAACACAACATAAAGTTAAATCCTGAAAAATGTTAATTTTTTATGCATGAAGTCACTTTCCTAGGACATAAATGCACAGATAAAGTAATCTTGCCCGACGACAAAAAATACGACGTCATTCAAAATTACCCAGTCCCACATGATGCGGACTAGAAGATTCATTGCATTTGAAACTATTACAGATGTTTCATAAAGAATTTGGCTGAATACTCTCGTCACATAACAAGATTATGTAGGGAAAATGTAAAATTCGAATGAAAAACAGAATGTCAAAACGCCTTTCAACATTTTAAATCAGCATTAATAAACCCAACTCTGTTGCAATACCCACATTTTAGCAAAGAATTTTGCATAATTACAGATGTTAGCAAATACGCTTGTAGAGCAGTCCTAACTCAAAACAAAAATTGACTACAGCTTCCAGTTGCATACTCATCAAGATCCTTTACGAAAGTTGAAAGCAACAAGAACACTACAGAACATAATTAGCAGCTATTCAGCTAATTAGCAGCAATAACACACTTCAGACCATATATTTATGGTAGACATTTCACTGTCAAAACCGACCACAGGGCACTTATCTACTTATTTTCAATGGTAAATCCCAGTTCCAAACTAACACGAATGAGACTTGAATTAGACGAATATAATTTTACGGTACAGTACCTAAAGGGTAAAGATAATGTATGTAGCCAGACTTGAAAAACATAGAATTAAATATTCTATAAGTCACTACCAGAAACCAAAGTAGACAAAAATCTTGCGCAGGAAAAGAACAAAAGGAATTGCAACAGCAATCTATAGAAAAAGCTTCAGACCCCAACGTATATGAAGTCATTAATTATGATGAAGTACGTAAAGTAGTGACCTTGCATGGAAATAACAATATGTGTTTAATTAAGAACGGAAAGAAAATTACAGCCAGATATGATGTTAGCGATATGTATACTAATGGAACCCTTGGCATAGGTCCATTCTTCCAAAGGCTTGAAAAGCAGACCGATATTCACAAAATCAGCCAACTCAAAGTGTCCCCATGGGAAAATATCTTTGAACATGTTTCAATTGATAATTAAAAAAAAAGGGAAATTATATATTAAAATGCTTAAGAGTAGCTCTACTCAACCCGGGGACCGTAAGAAAAAATAATAAAGAATGTTTGGTCATTGAGATTTTTCAATGACGTAGATAAAATGCAAATTGGGTTCAATTATAAACGTTATAAAATGTTTATACCTGCATGCAGATGAAGCAGATATTTAGATAATCTTATGGTGCCTGCAGAGACCCAAGTAAAGTACAGAGAGGGCGGCCCGACTAGTCATTGCGAAGCTAAAGCTCTCGATAATGGAGAGGGCGGCCCGACCTAGACATTTGCGGAGCTAAAACTCTCCAAAGAAAGCTAGTGAATAGAGCCGCCAAGAGAGAGTCGGCTTGCGATCAACTAAGGTACTTATACATACTTAAGCTTAATAAATAAACATTACACTAAACATTACATTAACATTATTTAAACATCAACATTAAACGCCGTTCTGCTGCCTGACCCGACATGACCCAAGTCCTGCATCGCTGCTCCAGAAACTCTGCCAGCGAATCCCAAGTAGGGAATCCAAGGCGAATCCAAGGCGTCGGAACTTTAGAAATTTAGACTCTCCTCCTGAATTTGTCGAATAACCTTCGAAGACCTGTTATTAAGACATTTCCTCCCACTAGAGTGAGGCCAAGAATCTCGTTCACATGAGCCTGAAATATTAGGCGACGGCTATTAAATCGTTTCTCCAACAAATTCAGCGCGACATCACAATTCTCATCGGAGACTTCCAAGGAGCGAACTGCTTCGAAAGCGGACTCCCGAAGGCAAGATCGCAACCTTTGCAGCTTTTCCACCTTACTGATGCACGGATTGCCGACTATAATTGTACAGAAAATCGAGTAGAACTTGCGTTGTGGGACCTATGTATATATGTTTTTATATTTTTTTCGCTGGTCAATAGTTTTTTTAAATTGTTCATTATATTAACTAGATCACTTCGGGGTCACCAATGGTTGGTCATTGATATTTTTTAATGACCAAACATTGTTAAACATCAACATTAAACGCCGCGCTGCTGCCTGACCCGACAAAGAAAAAGAAGCTATATTAAAATTCCATGATGATCCAATACAAGGTGGTCATACAAGCATTACAAAAACCTTGGCCAAGGTCTAGAGACACTATTACTGGAAAAGTATGTCCAAAGACATAAAAGAGTACATAAAGAAATGTCCTTCATGCCAAAAGTCTAAAACGACTAAACACTCTAAGACCCCATTAACCAAAACCCAAACTCCGCAAAGAGCTTTCGAAAGAGTAATTGTGGATAGGACTACCAAAAATCGAATAATGAAAACGAGTACGCTGTAACATTCATCTCAATTTAACTAAATACTTTGTTGCTATACCATATACCAAATAAGAGTGCAAATACAGTAGCAAAAGCCATATTTGAAGATATTATTCTAAAGTACGGTCCAATGACGGACATGGGAACGGAATATACAAATTCAATTATTGAAAATCTATGTAAAAATGTAAATATTGAAAACATAACTTCGACTGCTAATCACCACCAGACTGTAGGTACCGTGTAGCGAAGCCACAGAACACTCAATGAGTTCATTCGTTCATACATCTCAGTTGACACAACGGATTGGGATGTATGGCTACAATACTTCGCCTATTGTTTTAATACGACCCCCTCTATGGCACATGACTATTGTCCATATGAGCTAGTTTTTGGTAAAACGTCAAATTTACCAAAACATTTTAATAGCATAGATATCATAAAACCCCTTTATAATATAGAAGATTATGCTAAGGAATCAAAATTCAGATTAGAACAGGCATTTAAGAAACCTAGACTAATGCTAGAAGCTCATAAACTAAAACAAAAAATTATTTACGATAAAACTAGTTTAGATTTTGATTTAAAAATAGGAGATCAGGTTTTATTGAAAATCAAGAAAGGAAAGCTTACTTCGGGCTTACTGAAGTTGATATACCCTTACAGTAAAAACCGGATATACATTGCAAACATCGGATATAGTTGGCCGATTCTAATGAGAATATCATAATAAAACCAATTATTTGCAATAAATCATCTAAACAAGAAAGCAAAGCTAACTTCGGGCGGAGCCGAAGTTGATACACCCTTGCAGTTAAAACCGGATATATATCGCAAACATCGGATATAGTTGGCCGATCCTTATGATTACATCATAATAAAACCAATTAATTGCAACAAAAAATCTAAAAAAAAAGTCCAAGCTTCTATCTTCAAAAATACTAAAGTTGATATTTCTACCAAATATCATTTCCAATCGTTCAGTTATATGGCAGCTATAGGATATAGTCGGCCGATCCTAATGAAATTTGGTAGGTTGGATCAACTGACTCTAGCTTTCTATCTTTAAAAACACGAAAGTTGGGTCATTTCCGATCGTTCAGTTATATGGCAGCTATAAGATATAGTCGGCCGATCCTTATGAAATTTGGCATGTTGTAACATGTTGCCAAAAATAGCTCTCATGTTAAATTTGATCTAACTCATGTCTCTAACTCTAAAAACAGCAAATTTATACCATTTCCGATCAATCAGTTATATGGCAGCTATAGGATATAGTCGGCCGATCCCGGCCGTTCCGACTTATATACTGCGTGCAAAGAAAAGAAGGGTGTGTGCAAAGTTTCATGTTGAGAGCTATAAAACTGAGAGACTAGTTCGCGTAGAAACAGACAGACAGACAGACGAACATGCTCATATCAACTCGGGAGGTGATCCTGATCAAGAATATATATACTTTATAGGGTCGGAGATGTCTCCTTCACTTTTGGACAAAATTATAATACCCTCTACAAGGGTATAAAAAGTCCCTAAATAAAATGTTTTCTTAAAAAATAAATTACAATATATTTAAAAAGTTATAAAATATATATCAAAACGAATCTTTTTAAAATATTTTATTTGCTGCTACGAATGTCAATAAATTATTTTATTAATATTTTAACAGGTATATAACAAATATGTAATATCAAGGTGGGCTGTATTTTCAATTTTTGTTTTTTAAACTCAGTTTCCATGTATTAATTATATAAATATATTTATTCTGTCTTCAAATATTGATTTTCTTTTATTTCCCACTTTTGTTTTTATATTTTCCCACTTTTTCGTATTTAACGATTATTCCGGCAATGGTTGGCTAATTTTTCATAGTTACTGTTAAAATGTTTAATGTGGTAGTGAAATATTTTGATTTTTATGAAATAGTTCTAATGCTGTATGATACGAAAATGAGTTTTCATAATGTTTAATGGTTTTTTATTCATTGTTCATATTAAATTATTTTTTTCTGTATAATAAACTACAGGTAAATTTAATAGCTTTAACGAATTTTAGGTTAACGTTTTTTCTAATAATGTCAACAATGCAACCATTATATACAGTTTCTAATTTTACAAATTTATTTTTTTTTATCAATTCGGCAACAAATATCAAGTTTTGAGACATTATTTAAATTTTATGTTAATTAACTTCAGTTCATATAATCCACTTTAATCAAGAATGGTCATTTTTATTTTAAAACTATAGTATTTGGGCTTAAAAAATTTTATTTTTTATGGCCACTTTTGAAAGAAATTTGTTAATTTTTATTAACAAAGCTATTCAAGCTGTTTATAACAATTCCCACGTAATTCTTTGCAACAATTATTTTTAATACAATCCAAAGAATCTAAACGCCTTACTAAATAATACTCTAAGTATAATTCCATATAAAACATTTGCTCTAATCAGAACCGTTTTATCTATTAAAATTTATCCCAATTAGTTTAGGTTTACTTATTCATTTTATTTTGTGCAAGTTTCATTTAGAATGCTTTATAATAAAATGCTTTGTATCCAGGTATAAATCAATACATATAAATACAATTTCTCTTTACAATAAATGTTTAGACGAGATTTTTATGAATTTAGTTGTACGCCAATTAAATTTATTCAGGTTTTAGGCGATGCCATTGTACTACAGTTTGTCTAGGTTTCGAGATCATATCCTGCCAGTGTTTCGTTTCTGATGCTCCAGATCCATTTTTACCTTTTTAAGTAAAAGATTTGAGTAGGTTAGTGTTTAAAAATAAGTTTTTTTAAATCTTACCAGCTAACAAGATTCGACCTATTAATTCATTTCTACCAATGTTGTCGAAATCCATTACCATAACATCTAAAGAGCATTCTCTTATTTTTTCCCATGGAACGTTAAAACTAAATGATTCATTAAACACTGGATTTAATGTACATGTGAATATAGGCGTTTTTCTCTTTTCCACCTTTTTGTCTCCGAATTGAAGCCACACTTTTACGTACGGATCTGAAAAATTATATATATGATTTTAAATATTTTTGATTATATTTCTAAAAACGAATTAATTTATTTTAATAAACTGTGAAATTCACAGGATTAAATTTATCAAAGTAGTAGATGTAGATTATAATCTACATTTGTAATGTTTATTGTAAAGATGTAGGGGATCTCACGTCTTCAGAGCTCCTGTTTACCAAAGTAATACACGTACATAGTACTTTCGAACAATCGGTTAAATGGCAGTTATATATTCTCATAGGATGTATTTTTGACACTGGGAGGAGATTAAATCTCCCCACGCGTCATAACAGGTGACCGGGTCGGGCGAAGCCAAGGAAAGGGTATTTGAGAGAGAAAGCGAAGGCAAAAGTCCGGCAAAAATCCAAAGCGTGGCGGTGCAGCGGAGCAGCAGGTTTTCTCTGAAAGACCGTCGAAACCCCGCATAGTACCAGAAACGGTCCGTGGCCGGGAGAATCGAGAGGGAACGGAATGGAACCCGGAGTGTGGCGTGATACTGGAAAGCAGGATTAAAAGCATAAGCAGAATTATGGAGGATTAACGGGCGCTCCAGGCGCTATATAAGGAGGAGCATTGGAGCGACACGGGACGAGTGCTTTTAGACAGCTGGTAGCGTTGAGTTGAAGAACCTCCTTTGGAGAGTCCGACAGCCCAGAGAAAGTAAGGTTTGAGGATTATAGCAAGTAAAGAAAGAGCTATTCCAGAACGGTTCAACTGAAGCCAAGAATACAAGAGTCAAGATGGTCTATTGCCCGCGAAGAGTCCCGCGGACCGTTCTGGCTTACTGTTAAGCAAAGGGTGCTCGGCCCCGGAACTCAAGGCCATCGAGGAGACCAGGCTCTCTAGCGAGTGTGCGCGGTGACTCCCTAGTGTGAAGGAGGCGGAACTCCTGGTTTCTGGCCCGTCATGGATCCGGCACCGCATGTGCGCGCTGGTGTGTGGCGACTAGTAGCGAACGTAAGCCATGTGGGTGTCCCAAAAGGTAGGAAAGCCCTTGTGCCCTTGTCCGTCTGCCAGGCACAAGGACTGCACACACATCCCGTCCGTCTAACGCCTGGGAGGTGTGCTTAATGGTGACCTCAGAACGGATACTGGTGAGCGACGAGCGGACGAGCGCATACGGCGAATCCGAGCAGGAGCCCAGGAGGAGCAGCAAGGATCCATATCTGAGTACGTCAAGATCTTGTGTTTTATTTTTAAAAACCAAGGCCTGAAAAAAGGAGTATTAGTTTAATATAAAACTATTTGTATTGTTTATGGGCTTAGTCAAACACGTCAATCTTTAAGTTGCGTGGATCGTTTCCACAAACCTCTATGAGCTACCCGCTTCAATTGTTTCAAGCGAGATACCTAAAAAAAAAAACGTTTATTACATTTTTAAATTCACTGTTTAAATTTTTAAATTTAAATACGATTTGCCATGATTAAAGTGAAAGGTTTCTGTAAATTCATTGAGCACCTTTTGGTTTCGGTCCCGTCTAAAGGCGGACGTAATTAATAAATTTACGTTTTTAAATTTATTTATTTATGAAAGAAAATATAAGCTTGTAAAACAAAGTAAAAAATCTGTTGTTTCCAAATGGGCGGCATCATGATAGGCATGATGTGACAGGCATGTGATAGCCTTCATACAGAAAGGGAGACAGGCATGTGATAGCCTCCAAGCGGTCCAATAAAGAAGAATGCGTTCCATCAGGATCCACTCAAACTGTTTGAGAATTCTGAGTCCGACGACACTTATATCAATAATGGATGATGTGATTTAAGCGCCCGTAACCATAATCAAATTTGAGTTCTCAAACGTTTTCCCGGGGTCCCGGGGTTTTCCCGGCACCGGGGTCTATGGCTGGTCAGCCCTGCATCTGCCGGCACCGGGGTCTATGGCTGGTCAGCCCTGCATCAGCCGGAACGAGTATTTCTCAGATAAGGCTTTAAGAATATACGTTCTAAAGCTAAGTAATGTGGTAGATCATTGTAGTCCGAACATAAAACCCTGAAGGGATCATTCTGGGCATATATCGAACCATAATGGCTAAGCAGTAGAACCATAATTTTCTAGTCATTTTACTAGTTTATCACAATTAACAAAATACGAGTAGGGAAGCAATCTTCCGCCGGAGCTGAAGTTGATATACCCCTGCAGTTAAAACCGGATAAATATCGAAAAAATCGTATAAAATTGGCCGATCCTTATGAGAATATCATTGATTTATTAGAATACAAAATCTAAAAAAAATTTCCAAGCTTCTATCTTCAAAAATACAAAAGTTGGTATTTTCACCAAATTCCAAATAACCTTTCCGATCGTTCAATTATATGGCAGGATTAAGACATAGTCGGTTAGAAAATTTGGTTAGGAAATTTGGTAGAATCAACTGACCAGGATCAACTTTACAACTAAGAGACAGAAACAGACAGATGGACATGGTCATTTCAACTCAGGAGGTGATCCTGATCAAGAGTAAATATTCTATATATATTGAAGAGATGTCTCCTTCACTGCGTTGCATACTTTTGACCAAAATTATAATACCCTCTGCATCGTTTCACTGTTATGAGGCAAGTTAATTTAAAAAAGTTTACTATGGTAGAAAGGCAGCGGAAGATTGAAAACGCATTTTAGTCCTCTTAGAGCCAATATCAGAAAGTTTTTTTGTACAAATTGGATGTGATCTCGGTGTGCAATGTACTGAGAGTTTTAGACACACGAAGTTTTAGACAAACTCTAGTATCGAACGGACCAAAAATACGTGTAAAGTTTTAGTTAAATAAGGGTCTTTGAATTCATTGGACCATTTTTTGATAAAGCCACTTGGTTTGTGTATTTGGGGTACTTACACCTTTTCCTTTATTAACCATGGTGGAAATATGGTCGGAAAATTTAATTTTCAATTCTAATAGGATCGTAAATTTGGGTTTATCTTCCAAGGCTCACTCAAAAAGAATGAACATAGCCTGGTTGGGACAAAATCAATAAAAAGACATGAGTTCGCGTTTCACTTCAAAAAGTTTCCCAAATCGATGTTGGGCACTAGTGAATCTATATTGAAGGAACATCTTAACGTCATTAGCGAACATAAGTATCACTGAATTTGTTAATTCAAGGGGTTAATCGTTAATGAATAGTGTGAAAAAAGGGCGAAGATGGCTTCCTTGAAAAACACCAGATGTAAAACAAACTAAGTGCAAGAAACGTCTTTAAAAGAGACACTTTGGGTTCTTCCAGTTAATTAGCTCGAAATCGAATTGAGGAGATCGGTTGGGAAACCCAGAAGCAGCAAGTTTACTTTAAAGAAGCAAGTGCTTAACAGAGATAAAGGCTTTTTCATGCATGAAAAAGGAAATTAGCACCAACCAGTAGGTGGTAGTGGTGCGGCGCTTCATGAAACCATCTGGAAAGTAGAAAATATTAAGCTACAAAGGTGTTGCAAATATATAATTAATAATTTTTCAAATAGCTTTGGAATGTCTGACATTTAAAAACGTCTCTATAATTGGCTGTATTTGATTTTTTTCCTTTTTTGTGCAGTGGAGTAATTTTTGGTAGATTTCCCCGCTATAAAAACCGTCATATCGCTCATTATCTGTCGTATCACCTGCCATTCGGATAGTCGCCGGTCAATACCGCTCTCACTCTTCCGTTCCCGCTCTAACGCAATAACATATTAAAACAAAATAAAAACAAGAAAGGAAAGCTAACTTCGGACGGAGCCGAAGTTGATATACCCTTGCAGTTAAAACTGGATATATATCGCAAACATCGGATATAGTTGTCCGATCCTTATGAGAATATCATAATAAAACCAATTTGAATGATTTATCCAAAATTCTTGATCTTTTATTTTTAAACAACGTGATTAATAGTAAAATAGAATTATGCAATGTAACATTAAGTCTATGTGATATGCCATTAGTAATTCATATTGAGTTTTATAGTTTTTTGCCTTCTGCTTCAACCATTCCATATTATCATCTAAATGATACTAACCTGTTACTTATTAATGCCTCTATTTCAGCCTTTGATTGGGTTTCCCTTTTTTCGGATGGTTCAATCGATGATTTTTATACTAAGTTTTTGGTTGCCCTTTTTAATATTATTTATACTTATGCCCCAGTGAGGGTATGAAGATCCTATGGGCTTCCCTGGTATACAAAAGGTTTCAAAAACTTAAAGAATAGAAGTTATAAGCATTTCCAACGATTTATAAAGACAGGGGAGCCTCGAGCAGGAGAGCTGTACCGGCCATTTAAGCCGGAATTTGAATTCCGTAATAAGTTTCTTAACAATCCAATGTCGAAGCTAGCCTTTGGTCCAATCCTAAAGCTTTTTGGCAGTTTGTGAACAGCATGGTAATTTAGTATGGTAATGTTATGGTAATTTAGTAGCCGACTCGGATCAGGGCGCTTCTGAACTTTTTTCAAATACTTTGCCTTTAACTTGGAGTCGAAGGTTCCTTGGAGTGATAATGAAACTCTTCTTAGCATTCAGCCTTTTCTCAATGTGAGTAACATGGACGTTTTGGACGGTGACCTAGTTGAAGCCACTGGACATTTGACCGAGTCGCTCACACCTGACGTGGACGGTATCTCCCCATTCTTTCTTAAGAGGAGTATCGCTTCTCTTTCTACTCCCCTTCCCCTGGTAGATTCCCCCAGGTGGAAGATGACTTCTATAACGCCTATTCACAAAGGTGGCAGTAGGTGTGATGTTACCAATTATCGACCTATTGACTTTTCTTGCTCGCAATTTCATATCCCCCAACCAGCATGGTTTTCTGCCTGAGAGGTCCACTACCACTAATTTAGCTGACTTTTCTAAGCACTGCTTTGAAGCTTTTGAAAACCGATTTCAGGTTGATGCCATTTACACCGACTTCTCCAAAGCCTTCGACAAAGTGTGTCATGCTGCCCTTCTGGCCAAATTATATAAATTAGGTATTCATTCCTGCCTATTAAGTTGGTTCGAGTCTTATCTGGCTGACCGACCT